TGTTTGTGTTTCAGAGGTGTTAGGTACCATCTAAGCATGGTTTTGTACGCCTGTTCTTTGTGGTTCACGCATATGGTTAGTGAGGCGGTTGCTTCCCATATGCTTGCCCAGTCTGTTGGGTCATCCGGTGGGCCTATGTCTCTTTCCCATGCTTTTGTGTATGTGGGTGTGTCCGCTGGGGAGTTGGAGTTTAGTACGGAGTATATCAGGGAGATTTGTCCTTTATGTGTGGGGGCTTGTAGGCAGTTTGTTTCGAATCGAGTGAGTTTTGCGGTTGCTGTTTTCCTGTTCTGAGGTTCTGTCAGGAAGCTGCGTAATTGTAGGTATCTAAAGTGGTCGAAGGTGTTCAATGGCGTGGTACATGGGAGTTCTGGGAATGGGATTAGTTGTTGGTTGTTATAGAAATCTCTGAGTCTGATTAGTCCGTTGTCTTCATAATGTGCGTAGTCACGTGGTGTCATGCCTGGGGGGAATTGTTTATTTCTAAGGATTGGGGTAAGTGGTGAGGGGGAGTTTATGAGGGGGTGTCGTGCGGTGGTTCTGTCCCAGACCTGTAGTGATGTAGTTAGTGCGGGTGTTGTTGGGGGAAGTGCCGGTCTGTCTTTTTTTGGGAGCCAGAAGAGGAGGGAGGGGTGGTCTCTGCCGAGGAGGTCGTGTTCCAGATCGACCCAGAGTTTTGTCCCCGGGGGGGAGTGGAGTTGTTGCACTTGGGCTAGTTGGGCTGCTTGGTAATATTGGATGAGATTGGGGAGGCCCAGGCCTCCGGTCTTAACTGTTTTGTACATTGTTATCCGTTTGATCCGTGGTCTTTTATTGGCCCAGATAAATTTATCTATTTTTGATTGGAGGGCTTTGAAGTCCAGCCTAGAGATGGGGATGGGTAGGGTCCGGAACAAATATAGGAATTTGGGCAGGAGATTCATTTTTATGGATGCGATCCTGCCTAGCCAGGAAATTTGCATGGGTTGCCACCTTTGTAGGTCTATTTGGGCTCGTTCGATTAGGGGGGTATAGTTGAGTGAGTACAATTCGGAGAGATTCGCTGAGATGTGTGTGCCTAGGTAGTGGATACTTTGTTGATTGTATCGGAATGGGTGAGAGCTTTTTATTTGGGTTAGGAGTTGTTGCGGGAAATTGAGGGGAAGGGCTTCAGTTTTATCTAGGTTAAGTTTGTAGCCGGAGACGTCGGCATATTTTTGGAGGAGTGTGAGTAGGGGGGGCAGGGAGTTGGTGGGGTCCGTGAGTGTCAGTAGGATATCATCTGCGTACGCTGCGATCTTATATTCTTCCTGTCGGACTTTGAGGCCCCGGATTTCGGGGGATATGCGAATTAGTTGAAGAAGGGGTTCTAGGGAGAGGGCGAACAGGAGTGGGGAAAGCGGGCAGCCTTGTCTGGTTCCATTTTTAATTGTGAATTCATGCGGGCCAGTGTTGGGGAGAAGGAGGGTTGCCGTGGGGTTGGAATACAGTGTTGTGAGGGCCGTGATGATGGCGTCGGGGAAGTGGAATTTTCGTAGGACGGTAAATAGGAAGGGCCAGAGTAAGCGGTCAAACGCTTTTTCCGCGTCCATCGAGAGTAGGAGGGTGGGGATGTTCCTATGTTGGGCTCTCCATATTAGGTCTACCGTGCGTCTGGTGTTGTCGCATGCTTGGCGGTTGGGGATGAATCCTACTTGGTCTGGGTGCACGAGTTTTGGAAGGAGACGTTGTATTCTGTTGGCCAGTGTTTTCGTGAGGATTTTGATGTCTGTGTTGAGGAGAGATATTGGGCGGTAATGTCCAGGGTCTAGGTGTGTTTTGTGTGGTTTGGGGATTAGGCATATGTTGGCCTTGAGCATCTCTTGTGGTACCTGGTCGCCTTCCATTATAGAATTGCAGAGTGCGGTCAGATGGGGTATCAATGTGGTGCTGAACGTTTTATAATAGAGGCCTGTGAAGCCGTCAGGTCCTGGGCATTTATTGGGTTTAATGTGCTTTATTGTGAGGGCTATTTCCTCTTCAGTGATTGGGGACGCGAGGGTGTTTCGTTCTTGGTCTGTTAGTGCTGGGAGGGGGATTTCCGATAGGAAGTCGTGAATTTCTTGTCCTAACGTTGGGTGGGTGTAAGTGTGGTTGGGTTTATGGTCGTATAATTTGGAGAAGTAGTCGACGAATATAGAGGCTATGCGGTCAGGGTCTTTATGGGTTTTGCCTCCAGGCGATGTGATTTCGTCTATGTGTTTTTGGAGAGTTTTATGTCGGAGTCTACGCGCAAGGAGGGTGTCTGCCTTGTTGGACTTCTCATAATATAGTTGTTTGGTCCATTGTAATGCTTTTTGGGAATCTTTGGCCATATAGGACTTTATTGCGTGTTGGTGCAATTTAATTTGGTCGAGCAGTGATTGAGATGGGGTGCGTTTGTGTTTGGCTTCTATTGTCCTTAGGGAGGTTAGGTGTTGTTCTAATACCCGGAGTGTTTGTCTTCTGTGGGCGCTGGCTGCGCTAATTATGGTTCCTCTGATTGTTGCTTTATGGGCTGCCCATAGTGTGTTCGTGGATGGGACCGATCCCGTATTGGTCTCGAAATAGTTTGTGAGCTCCTGTTGGATTGTTTGTCTGATTTGGGGGTTATGTAAGAGTGTGGGGTTTAACCGCCAGGTCCACGCTTTGGCTGTGCGGGGCTTATCTATGTTGAGAGAGATTTCGGCGTGATCAGACCAGGTGATTGAACCTATCGAGGTGGAGTGTGTATAAGGTACTAGGGAAAGGGATATTAAAAATAGGTCTATCCTGGAGTAAGAGGAGTGTGGGTGCGAGTAGAAGGTGAAGTCTGGGGTTGTGTGGTGTTGGAGTCTCCATATGTCTTGGAGGCCTATCTGGGTGGCGAACTCCATGAGGAGATTGTCGTTTTTCCTGGTAGGGGGTTTGCGTGATTTGTTTCCCTCCGTGCTTTTCCTATCTATAGATGGGGTTAGGACTGCATTGAAGTCCCCGCCTAAGATAATGTGGTGTGAGGGGAACAGTTTTAGTTGTGTGCGTAGTGCTGTCCAGAAGGTCGGTTCGGGTGTATTTGGGGCATAGACTGTGGTGATCGCGTATTTGTGATTGGCAAATTGTCCCGTGATTGTCAAATATCTCCCTTGGGGGTCTGGGAGGCTTTTTAAGATTGTGATCGGGCAGTGTTTGTGAACCATAATGGCTACTCCGTTTTGTTTGCCGTGTGGCGAATTTGCTAGGTAGCATTGTCTGTAGTTTTTGTTGATGAGGGGAAAGGGTTTTTTCGTGTCAAAATGGGTTTCCTGGAGGAGGATTATATCTGCTTTTGTTCTATTGGCCCAGCGAAGTGTGCGGTGTCGCTTGGCTGGATTGTTAAGTCCCTTGCAATTGATGGATATGCAGGAGATTGTGTCCGGTCTGGTAGTGTGTGTTTGTGGTGGTGGGTCGTTGGTGGGCATTCTTTAGTGTGGTGTGGGCTTCGGGTCGAGGGGGTGACGGGGCGTCCGACCGCTCTTATTAGGGGGGGGGTCCGGTGGGGGATGGGTGGTGGGAGAGGGGGATGGGTGAGGTTTACAAAACCCTTTGGGGATTGGGTTGCAAAGTGTCTATCCTGGTCTTATGTGGTAGTTGCCAGGTAAAGTGGGGGGAGGCGGTGTTGTACACCTTGGGTTGGTCGTGTGGTTGGTGTCGCCCGGGGAATCCGGGGATCAGGGGTGGGGAAGAGGAGGAAGAGTTTCACGTTCCTGTTACTCCTCTCCCCCCCCGCGCTAGGTGTGGTGTAGCACTCACGATTTGGCGGTGCGGTGGTATCTGTCTGTGGTGTAAGGTGCCAGTCGTGGTCCCTCCATTGGTGTTTGGAGTGTGTCTCATGTTGTCCTCATCTGTGGTCCTGTGGATGTTGTTTCGAGGATCGTGTTGTCGGTGTCTATTATAAGTAGTAGAAAACATTAGGTAACATAGTAGAAAACATAGTAGTAAACATGGTAACAAAAACACAGCATTTAAAACAGCATTTAAAACATTTTAAAACATTTCTGCTATATATGTGTACACAGATCCGGAGTTATTGCATGTGTACCATCCGTGTAAACCTTAAGCTATATAGCAGTTTCATGCTAGTGGCGGATCCGGATTGAGTGGGTTTACCCGTCTATCTTGTTTGGGTCGGGGGGGGGTATCTGGGGGTCGTCCTGTCCTGAACAGTGGGAGTCCGTGTAAGTGGATTTGTGGCGTTGCGTTGTGTTGGGGGGGTAGGTAGGTTTGGGGGGGTTCCCCCGGATTAGTCGTGGGATGTCCCCTTTTACACATTTGTAAATAGCTAATGGTGTTGTCATGGTCTATCCTGTGTGGATGTGAGGATTCGGGTAGTTATGGGGAAGGTGATACTGTCTGGTTGGGTTGGTTAGTGGAGTTCATCTTGGGTTCCGGGGGGGTGGATGGGTGGGTAACAGTGCGTTCTAAGGGGGTACGTCTTGTGGGGTCGGGGCGGGATCTGGCTAACTAGTCCTGGGCCATTTTGGGGGGGTACCTGCAAAATAAGAGATGGTTAGATTGTAAGTCCAGTAATCAGCTAGAGAGTCCCCAGATCAGGCAGTGGATAGTTCTTGGGTAGCACGTCGGGCTTGCTGTTGGATGTGATTTCAGGCGAGGTGTGAAGAGGTATATTGTCCGTGCTCCGTTATTCCAGTGTGGTGGTAGTCTGGATCTGTGCCTGGAGTTGAGTAGGGGATCTTGTAGCGATTGGTGGGCTTTGTTCAGGGCTCCTCCCGGATATCCCGAGTGCTTGGGTTTTAAGTGCAGTGTGGTAGTTTTACGTATCCAGTGTTCGATATGTCCAGGGTCTGGGCTAGTGCGTGGGTTAATAAAGAGTTTTAGTCCTGAAGTTGGGGGTGGGGGGGGTAGGATGGCATATGGCGGAGAAGGTATGGGGTGTGTTGTTGGTTGAATGTGGGCCGCTTACTGCGCCTGGATAGCTCCTGCTGTTGGTGGTGTGAAGGATTCCAGGTGGCAGGCGATCAGACCCGTTAGGATTGGTGGCGGCTGTCTCGGCGGTGCCGAGGGGGTTCTCCCGGGCTAGCAGGTGTTCTCAATTTCTTGGGCGGCCTAGAGTCTTCAGGGTCGTCCTGTGGTCGCCCATCTTCACGGTTTTTGTGGAAGGGGGCCAGTTGTAGTAGTTGTATTCCTAGGGATTCTGCGAAGGGCGACATGTCCGACACTGAGGTGAGGATGTGCATTTGATCGTCTTTCTTGATCATGAGTTTGAAGGGGTGTCCCCAGGTATATTTGATGCCTTGTCGCTGGAGGGCAAGTGTCAGAGGTTTGAGGTCTCTTCTTTTTTTGAGTGTGGAGGGGGCTAAGTCTTGGAAGAAAGTTAGACGGGTTTCTTTATAGCGTGGGGGTTTGTCTCGTGCTATGGTTAGTAGTTTCTCTTTAGTTGTGAAGAAGTGTAGGCGGGTGATCACATCCCTTGGGATGGAGGCGCCCAGATTTTGCGGGCGGAGGGCTCTGTGGGCCCTGTCTAATTCCATCTCTTGAGGTGTGAGGTCTGGGGCCAATGTTTTAAAAATGCTGTGAAGTGTGGGGACAAGTTGTTCCATGGTGACGGTTTCGGGTAGGCCGCGGATTCGTATGTTATTACGTCTGGACCTGTTGTTTAGGTCTTCTAGGCCATCTTCTAGTGCAGCCATGTGGCCATATAGGTATGCTATGTCTTGAGTGTGAGATGTGGAGGTGGCATATATGGAGGCAATCCGGTTTTCTACCTGATCTGTGCGGGCGGTGAGGCCTACTACTTCCTCTTTAAGGCCTGCCACATGTCTTTCCATCTCGGCGGCTACATGGGCCTTAATGTCGTTGGTGGCTTGGTGCAGCATGTCTCTCAGTACCGCGATGGTTATGGGGGCCGCCGGGTTCATCACTGTGTCCAGACTTTCAGCCTCCGACCCAGATTCCTCTTCTGCCTGTGAGGAGATTGGTCTCCGTTGGTCTGATGGCGTGCGGAATATGGAGGCCACCGATGGGTTCGTGTCCCTCCGTTTCTTGTTGCCGCCCATTCTTGGTTTTCCGTACCAGGCGGGTGCCAGCTGTGTTGGGGTTGCTGCTGGTATGAGGGCAGACTGTTTTGGGGCGTGAGGGATGCGGATGGCAGGGGATTTAGCGCGTGGGGGGATCGGAGCTTTAGGATCAGGCGTCCATCTTCGTCCGAGGTTAGGCCACGCCCCCGCTGAATCCCTCTTTTTGAGGTGGTTGAGTGCCATTATAAAAGTTGGAGCAGGGACTATTCAGCTGGTACCGGCAATTTCTACTCGAATCTTGCCTACACTTAAAAGCTATCTACCATGACTGGTATCCTGAGCACTCTTTTGTAGGAGGGAGCGTATCCCTGTCAGTTTAGACGCCTATTTTGATTCAATCCGGTGTATTCACACCGCGTTGGGCTCCTCTGATAATATATCTGTCTATCTATACAAATAGAGGCACTGTTATAACCTTGCATATTGCAGAAGCGAGCTACTCTTACGGCTTGCAGCATACCAACTAATTTATGGCACCATGCATTATTGGGATATTATTATTATTAGTATTATTATTATTGCCATTTTACAGATTCCGTAGCGCTTTACAATATTTTGAGAGGGGGGATGTACAAGAAAACTTACAGGAACAATAGGTTGAAGAGGACCCTGCTGAAACGAGCTTACAGATTATAATCATAATGTGTTGCTACTCTGGTTTCTCTCACTGTTAGTTTCCCTATTGATTTATTACCCAATTTGGGGCACGCTGCTTTTATTCTCCCCAAATATTGCAATAACTTTACCACCTATATCCGTACCTATTTCCTCGATCCTTGAAACATACACCAGTACATTTGTCTTAATTTATACATTGAATTAGAGACACATATTTCTAGTTATTTATAAACTTTACTTGTAGGGTGCTCTCCTCTAAATATGTACTCAGAAATTATACTGCAATACTTTCTTAACAGTATCCACGTTTCACTAGCCTCAGACTCAGATGGTACTTTGTTGCAAATTGCTGTTGCAACATTATATCAAACCTGTCTCAGTTCGTACCACCACACATGTGGATAGACAATTATATGGATACTGTCGATTTTTTTAAACACCAGCAGTTGATACTATTTTAACTAATTGTATATATTTTTAGTTTTTGCACTTTATATTCACATTGTTTATTTATACATCTCTTTTTGCTTTTTACCCAAACAGGGATTTAATAAAATAACAGTTCTTTTTTTGCTCTCTTTAAAAAGGCACTTTTTTGCCTGTTACTGGCAGAGCAGCCCATATTAGGGTACCTGGACGGATATTGGGTGCATTGTTTAGTTTACCCATTCCGGTATTTATTTCTATGATTATTCTGGGTTATGCCCTAAGTACCCTACAACAATTCGACTTTGTTGAAAGTTTTCTTTTCTCTCCCTGCTGTTGTATATTTTCCTATTGTAGGAAGTTATAAATTAAACTTGTAGGGCACTGAGTTTTGTACCATCATTAGTCGGTGTCAGGCTAGTATTATTACAACTTTTATGTGTCCTGAGCACTTCTCCCTAACAAGATTTTATAGAATGGGTAATGTAGTTGATCACAGTCAGCAGCTGTAGATTCTAACCCTCCCTTCAAATTTGTAAGTAAAGCCAAGCCAAAAGCATGTACTCTCCACCCAGACATACGCGAAGGGACAAGATAGGACCAGATCCGCTGTATGATACCAATAGGGATTCCATGCAGGATATGGATCTACTGAGGAACTAACACATAACCAGAATCATGTAGATTCTGAACAGACAAGTATATTAAAATTATAAAGACACAGACAAATCTAGAGCATACATTTTATTCTCCAAAACATGGCATTTCAGATAAACTTCCAGAGCCATTTACATTAGACCATGAACAGAACTGTTGCCATCATGCCCTTATGCAGGAGGATTCCATGGTTGGATTTGAAGTCATATCCATCTCATGGTTTGTAGTCTTGCTGGCTGACCATCAGATTATAGTGAGTGACCCCTTTCCATAATCCCTCGACGTAGGTTTCATAACCAAACAAGGTGCAGACCTTGGCACGATAAGGCACGTCCATTTCTCCCTTTGTCACAGATGCCACCATACGTATTGAATGTCCTGCTGGTACCTCCACATCTGTGCTGGAGGAGAAGGTTGTCTGTAGAAGAAGTCAGATATTTGACACAAATTTAGGACAAAACCTAGGTAAACATTTAGTATGAGGCTATCTTTCTACATTTGAACATGTACAGAAAAGTTATTAGCTAGAACCTGAAAATCATTCGAGGTTAAAGACCCACAAATAATTACAAGTTGTCAGATGCTTGTTACATATTTATCTTAGAACTGTACAAGATATGGGGAACTTTTCTGAAGTCAGAAAGCTATCTTGATGTACATGGCTGTCAACATGTAGGAACACATTTGGCTAGAGAACCTCTGACAAAAAATGCCATGGTGGAGAGGTATTACAACTGTATACCATTAGCAAAATATCTTCTGAAATTCAGATGCACTTTGCACAAGCCACTTTATTGTTAATTGTGGGCTTAAATTCTGTTCTGAGCTGCTTAATGTCAGTTCTATGCATTAAAAAAAATGTGTCACCAGCATGCTATACCGACAGATGTAAACATCTTCCGATTGCAGTTCCACCCTTCTATTTATTCCTTCCCCATACAGAATCCCTCCCAAAATCCCAGCTCAGATTGCACATAGGCGCTCTGAGTTGGCACAACAGTTAAATCTTTTTAACTCAGCACCAGCTGGTTCTGGGTTAAGGCAAGTATAAACCCTTTTTTTTTTTTTTGCAGGGCAGGACTTATTAGTTATGTCCTATAGGGAATTTGTACAGAAAAAAATAAAATAAAATAAAAATATATAATTTTATTCTAAGGGTTGGAGTAACCTTGAGTAATTTGATACCAGATTAGCGAGCTATCTGCTAAACACAGCTGAAAGAAAGGCTTGATTTGTCAACTGTTTAGTAGGAGACTTCCAAATTTGTGAAATTGGAATATTTAAGAATGCCAAGTAAAAAGGCCATCTGCTAAACTGCTGAAAGCTCAAAAAAACCCACCCTTTTCTAAATTGTGCTCTTTTGGCTAATTTTTATTTATTTTTTTCAATGATTTTATTTCTTTATTTTATGGACATTTTCCACATAAAACGATATAGTCCAAATAAGGAAACAAAGCAGACAGAAGCTACATACAAACAAACAAACACACACATATATATATAGTCACTATACAATATGAAAGCAGGAAAAAAAGAGTAAGTCTATAAACCAAATCACAAGACAACATCAAGAATCAACAGTTGCTGCAGGACTCGACTCTGTGTTAACATAAACTGTTCGTGGTGCATATATAGCAATAGATTAAAATGTATTTTTCTAAAAATTGATTGGAACAAAACAAATTACACATGTCCACCTCCAAAGAATTAAAGGACCACTATAGTGCCAGGAAAACAAACTTGTTTTCCTGGTTCTATAGTGTCTTTGGGTCGCCCCCCCCCCCACCCTCAGAGTCCAACTCCCGCCGTGCTAAAGGGGGAGGAAGGGGTTAAATTCTTACCTTTCTCCAGTGCCGGGCTCCCTCGGCGCTGGGGACTCTCCTCCCTCTCCCAACATCATCCGCTGAATTTCCTATGGACGTGAGTGTCTTCTCACTGTGATTTTCACAGTGAGAAGCGCGGAAGCTCCTCTAGCAGCTGTCAGTGAGACAGCCACTAGAGGCTGGATTAACCCTCAGTGAAAAATAGTAGTTTCTCTGAAATTGCTATGTTTACAGCTGCAGGGTTAACCCTAGAGGGACCTGGCACCCAGACAGCTTCATTGACCTGAAGTGGACTGGGTGCCTATAGTGGTCCTTTAAGCACACACACACAAAAATAAATAAATAAGATGTACAAAAGTGTACCAGGAGCATAAGTTCTCATTGTGTGTTCTAATGACTGCCCTATGTTACAGTACAAGCAGGCCAAGAATTCTTCCCATATAACTTTAACAGCAGACCGTTCCCAGGATCCTTCCAATCAAGGGTTAACCGATGAGAGACCTGCCACCAGCTGCAACTTGATTTACAGAGAGTCTAACAGCCCTATTACGGAGGGGCTGGTGGGTAAGAGTGTAAATTCATCTGGAACAAGTAACATGACTGTAAAGGGTAACCAGTGGAGAAATCCGCAAATGCTAACTCACTCTAATTTTATGTGTGAGCTGTTTGAATGTGATGGAAGATGTGACGAGACCAATCTCGCCACATTGCATTGGAGAAGCCTGGTTGCTCGCCTGTTGCCTTTGGATTATGGCCCCATGTTAAAAGGCTTGATTTTCCCCTGCAAAGATATGAAAGCCGGGTCATTTTGTGCTTGCCCTGTTTGAGCGGTGATACCCCAGCTAGCTATGCCATGGAGCCCATTCGTATAATGAAAGACTATGGGAAAGACTTTGGCTCCATTGCAATTGAACTGTATGTGTGTGCTCTGAGTGCACATTATTACTGAATGGCGCTCAGAGCACACACGTACAGTTCAATTGCCATGGAGCCAAAGTCTTTCCCATAGTCTGAGCTATCTGGTGATATGTTGAATGTACCTGTTTTGTGCAATGGCTGCACAGTTATATGTTTTTATGTGTTTTATTGTCTTTTGCTGCCATGTGTTCAATGGAGTTTTGCCTCTGTCTTTGGAGATAATTGGATTACTGCCCAATTATCTCCAGGATAGAAGACTCTGTGGAACTGGTTTTGGGCAGAAAAGCCATGCTTCCTTTGGTCACAAAGGACTACGATCTATCTTTTGAACCACTGGACCAATTTGGATGATTTTGACATATGTTTGTATTTGGAGTATGCTGATTCTGAAAATGTAAGTGAATTTATGTGAATGTGATGCATACTTTTCAAGTTATTTATAATGTGGAAAAATTGTATTTCTCTGCTTGTTATAATTACATTACCCATTGTGTAAGGTAATTGTATCACAGTCAGAGGGGAGGATTTTGTGTGGGAGTGTCTGAGTGTATTGTATGTGTTTATTGGTTGTGTTCCAAAACCCTGTGGGTGGTACTAATGTGTAAGAATGTGTACATAAGCACAATAAACCCACAGCTCTGACTGTTCGCTGCTTGACCCTCAACACGGAGCTTTGTCTCGTTCTTGGGGGGATTTACTGTATGCTGTTCCAGTTTGACTGCTAGGAGTGTAAACCTATTC